TGTTGCGGTATTGCACTGGGTATTTTCATCCTACCTTATTAGGGAACGCGAATTCCAAATATAGAGCGATTACGCGCATGTGCGTCCTCTAGTAACAAAAACAAACATGGCAGCCCCAGGGGTTTTACCGGACCCAACAAAAAGAAGTTAAATAAATAAATATGTTTTAAACGTTTTGTATTTCGGCATTCCGAAGATGTACCTTTAACATTATCCATAATCATTGAATATACCAAGGTTATAAAACATGTACTGAGGTGATACCTAAATATTTAAGTGAACCTTAATGAGCATAACCTGCAATCACTTATTTATCTTGACCCGTTATTTCACGGTTTAAATTAGGACCAGCACTGCCTTTTATATCATCACTTAGCAACAGAATCATTCTCTTATTGTACAAATAAAGTTGCATAAATTCACACAGAAAAAAAATTGTTAGTGTTTTTATTACAAACTTCATTTTGTGTACAATGAAAAATTCAAAGTCTAAATACATAGTTCCATTATTCATATTTTTTGATAAAATAAAAGTGTCATAAATGAAGAAATTTAATTGAAGTCAGCAAATCTTCTGTAATAGACTTGTGTATATTGCAGAACTATGTGGCATTGTTGCATGATATAAGCCATCAAAATTGTCTTTCAAATTCAGATCCTGTGAAAAAATACAAAAAAAAACAAATAAATAAACAATATACAGTTCACATTTTTCTCTCGTAACGGCACTCAAAATCGTAATCACATGATACTGTTGTGTTGGATCAATGATTTGTTATTGTAATAATCGAAACAGAATGATTATCTTGAATACGTCCAAAAACAGTCATATTGCAATGCATGGTCGCTATTTGTGACGATCGAATACAAAACAACCGTGACTGCATGCGTAGGGCAGTGTGAAGGGGCATTGTCCATTAGTTAGCCCCGATCAATATAGCATTATACGTAGGGCTACTTATATTTCAGTTAAACGCAAGAAAATATTTTTAGCCAACACAAATTGAAATAGATAGCTTGAATGATAAACGAACAGGCAAAAATATTATTGAAGCATGCATTAATTAAATAACGTAAAAACCTGCACTCAGTAGATAAAAAACAAATTACTTCACTGTACTTATCAAATAATTTAGTGATTTTCAGATTATTCAGTCTTAATTATCGCGAAGTGACAACAGGCATCCGTAAACATGGACCCGAACATGAGGTGTGTTACCATTGACCTCACTTAAGCGAATCTTCTCCCAAGATGCAACACTGGAACACATTGCCTGAACGATAAGACAATGTGGGAAAGGCAGGGTGCAGGTACGTGGTAAAAATATTGATTATCTTTATTGCAATCATTTTCTAATCAGTATATCAAAGAAAATACGAATAAAGGTAACATTCTGACAAACCAACATAATAATAGAACTTTATTGACATTAATTTAAAAACATAAAAACAACTTTGTATTAGATGCATTTAATTTATAGTCCATCTTAATCAGAATCTGTACATTATGGGATCTAAAATAGCTGCTAAACGATCAAAATTGATCTAATCACAAATCAAATTCATGTGCATATGTATACCTTCATGGCAGGTATGTGTACCAAATTTGAAAAGAATCCGTCAAAGCCTGTCTGAAATATGACCGCACACGCACGCATGTACGTACGGAACCAAAAACACTACTAATAAATAAATAAATTGTTGTTGTTTTTTTTCAATAAGTACGAAAAGGCAAGTCTGCAATTTACAGTGAGAGACTATCAAGAATTGTTCTAAAGAGAGGAGCGTCATGGATGTCAGATAATGCGAGTTGGTGTACAGTATTTTTCTAAGAGTAGGATGTGTTCAAGTAAATTTTTATGCATGGCTTCATATTTCAAGACAATAAGTTATATGTTGTAGAATTGAAAAATAATAAAAGCTTTGGTACAAAATAGCAAAGCTGTGAAATGATTCAGATTTTTGATGCAATTTTTATGAGATTTCCAGGTACTGTTTTGATCGATGGATACGCCAAAGTAGTTAAATGGTGTTACGCCCTCTATCAATGACCCACTTATGTCCAGGCTGCCCTCGATACCGACATGTCTCCGGGGAGTTCGCATAACCATATAGTTTGTTTGTTTTTTCGGCGTTAATTGTTTGCCTGTTTGAATTAGATTATTCATGAACCCGTTGGAAGTCTTGGTTAATATGCGTGGGGTTAATAATACTTTTTTTAGAAATTCGAATCAGCTAGTGACGTGAGAAAGAGTCAAAATGTGAGTAAGAGTACGAGCGATATTACAGGCTGCGTGATTGACAATTTGGCTGGTATTTTGTTATGAACAACGGATTTCCTTGGGTCCATATCATTTCATTTAGAACATCTTGTTTGCCAAAAAAACAAGTTACGATAGTTTCCACCAAGGTAATCATTGACATTACTAGGTTAAGTAATATTAGCCGTTAGATTCGGACGGGCAATAGTAAACTAAATTTTTAAATTCCTCTAGTTATCGGTAAAACTAGTATTTTTTAGGGTAGATTATACTTGGTTCGTGGAATTAATTTGGTGGCGATGTATTTGTAATTTCATTGGTCACGTTATTAGTCCCCGTTCGGACACAGTCCGCAAGCTGTGTACGCGTACTGTCTACGACAACAGTCATGCCAATACGATGTTCTGATCAATCTCGAAAATAAAACGTTTGAAGACAACGTGAAAGATCGAAATAACAAAATTAGTAGATACTTAAGTAAACTCTGAAACAAATGGATAACAGCCATTTTCAAGTCCACTAGCTTTCCTTATTAACGCGGCATACTACCACGATGCATCGACATGACTGGTACTACTGACCCCATGACATACCGTATTCTCGATTGCCGGTTTATTGATCAACAACCTCATACCTCGTGTTACACAACCTGAGTAGGTATGACTAGGAAGCAACAAGGTCGCCTTTTTTATTGTGACGCAATACAATCGTACCAAGCTAAGTTGTTTTTATCCCCGTGTAAGAAAATGCTAACATTTTGGGGGTTTGCTTCGTGCTCCTCGACGTCCAACAACTGCTGAAGAAGATGATGTTGCGAAACGCGAAAACACGATTCGGAATCTGCTCAATGTGCATACTAAATTGACAAATTTGTTTCGAGTTTTGAAAATCACATCGGATGTTGTTGTTATATCGACCAATAAATAGACGACGGATAAAATAGTTACATGTCAATATACAGTTGTCTGTTCATCGCGGGTGGCACAAGAGAAATATCGTCATTTAGTTGCTATTTAAGTTCGAATTATTTATTAACTGACGTAAACTCTGGTCATGTTGCCTCATTTTTTTAATCAGATAATTTGCAAAATTTCAACTCTCATTCAAAATTCAGCGTGTGGTTTGGACCTATGTCAGTTTGTAAATTTGTAGCCTAATAATATCGTTATAAATATAATACATTGCATATAGATTATGCTATTGCTATTGTGTAGAAAAGAACATAACTATTTTTGTAAAATAATTTTTGACAGACTGCATAGTGCGAAGACAGGTCTCCAATTGTACAGACAACAATTTTATTTTATTCAGAATTCAATTTCAAGAGTGAAAATTACTTGGTGTACATTGTTTTTGAAATAAGAAATACCTACAAATGCAAAAATAACACAATATTGGGGTTGTGACACAGAAATCAAACTACCTCACTGTAATGTATATTTACTTGAGATTTTGTGGATACATTTATGCTGGTAGATTGCAAATGCAAATTAAAATGTGGGAGCAATTGTGGAAATTAATTTGACAAAACTGAATAATACTTCGAAGATTGATTGATTGTAGGCGTGACTTCAAATCGCAATGAAATTAGCCTATTCATATGTTAATATAAATATAATAGTTTGCATTGAATTAGAAAATATCATACTATGCTGAGTAGAACTAAACAAAATTCATACATGTTGTAATGTCTGCCATCAGTATTCACACAAGCACGTCGTCACAAAATCATATTGTGACTTCATTTGTTTACATTGCTGCCAACGAGTATAAGTATATGTACTATGTGACAAAAACTGACGAGAATAAGTCACAACTCGTTATCTTGTGCCATGACCGGCAGTCGGCAGTCATTGGACTTTACCCAGGACCGTCTGTTATCATTAAGCTGAGACAGCTCAGCTGTGATAAATTGTGATGTGTACTGTAATCTCACCTAAACACATGGCAAGGCCGTCAGTAGTTTCAAGTATTTACTTGTGAGGTGGATCTACAGATATTTTACATGCAATGACTTGAATTGGCGGATAGTTATACGCCACACAGTATTTATGTAGGCCACGATTCTTTTATATCTAATTAAGCAGATCAATAAATGCAACTACTGAGTTACAGCGACTGTTAATCTCGTGTCATCTGGCAGTCAACTCTGCTTCGCTGGAAATAAGGTCAGTCACGAGGTTTGGGTTATCTAATTCAAATAAAATGTTTTGCAACAGCTTCTCACGAAAACAATTGTATAATCATGTGAATGTCGAATGTACATGTTGCACTTTGTTCATATAATTTATACTATCTATTTTGTGAGCACATGCAAATAAATAAATGTACCTGGTGGTGCCAGGATGACTATTTTAGTGAATGGATAGGGATCATACCTGAGGCATACATACTACGATTTGGTTGCAATAAGCATTCTAAGTTCTGATGAATGTTACTTTACTGGCGGAACTATTATATGATAGTTGGGGATAAGATAGGATAGGAGGTTGTTGAAATATTCTCATAATACTACCTCTTATTAGTACAAAAGTTTAAAAAAAATAAAAGACAGATTTAGCATTTGATCTAAAATGCTACGACTCGTGTGTACATTGTCACGTTCTAAGTGTCTTAATTACATCACGCGCGTCGTCAGTGATTTGCACCCCTTCACACACTAATAGTATAGTCCAAATATAAAGTCAATAGTTCTTTATATACTTTGAGTCATTTGCCTGCGCCAGTCAATCGATTGACTCTGAACTGATAACAGGGTGCCGATGTCAGCCACAGGATATTGTATCATTTCGTGATTATTTGCAAAAACTTCTGTACGTGTGGAATTTAACCGATTGGAAAAATAGCGAGAAACAAGAAAAATTCAGGTACGATTATGAATTTTATAACTCATTTCCACCGGGGAGTTTGTAATTCACAATTACTGAAGGCCGCGATTTTAATGTCATAAACTCGACGGGAGTCTCTAACTTTAACCGGGATACTACTAGTAACTGAACTCATGTGCCAACACAGTACTTAGTATAATATAATTCTTCTTATTGTTTTCTTGTACAAACATTTCTGGAAAATCGTGACACATTTCATTACCCGTTGCTGTATGAATTTCCATGTTGTATGGCGTGAGCATTGCTACACAAGTGTGTTCTGTAGTGTGGTCACACCATAACCTGAGTAATTACAGTCGCGCTTCTTGTCACTAAACAGTATCTCTTTAAAAAAAATAGGAGGAAGTCACACTCTACGACTCTAGTCTTTAAATCAAAGATATATGTTGTCATCGATAAACAGTGTCGATTAATACTAAAAAATATGTTCTACCATGTTCTAGTCTCAGTGATGGTTATTTCTTCAGATAATTACGGCATATTACAACAGTATGACGCGATGCTCGAGGTTTAATCAGTAATCTATAAACTACAAATGACGTTGTCAGGGTCCTTGAATCCAACTCACACCTACTGTATGTAAATCATTTGGTATGCGTTTAATATTATAAAACATTACATTGCAAAGACGTCCACTTAAATCCACTTCCATGACAGCTCGCATACATGACCACAGCTAACTAATCAACTAAATCGGTACAATTTACTGCGAATTGCTCAGTACATGTATCGACAGTGTTTATTTAACCATTTACCTTCATTGGGAAATTGTCTTTGCTAGATGTTTCAATTTATGATTGCGTGGTGTTTTTATTTTAATACATACACGAACGTTTAAGCACATATAATATGGCAAAGGTCATAGAGGTCACAAGGTCACAATGCCAAGGACATTTAGCGAGAAGAATGAGACGGGATGTCATATTAAATATTGTGGACGTATTTTCATATAAAAATTCTTCAAACATCTTTGGTTTAGAATCGTTGTTTTTTTATGAACAGGGGTTTCTCGTTTGAGTTGCTATAGTTTTTGGTTTCTAAGCCAATAACCGGATAAAGACACTGCCGTCAATGGGAAAGTACATTGTAACTATTGGTAGTTTCTTACAGTTGTGGCGCTAAACCGATGGTGATTAAAATAAAAGTGTATTTTTTTCATGAAGCTGATCATGGAGATCTTTCGAATGGGGATTATTGTCGTATTATTTTATATTTACTCAGTTGATGAAATTATTCTGAAATTTCTACCTTGATAAGACGAGGCAATTGCCATGATCGTATTCAGTATTTCATTTTGTGATTTGTCTGTTTGTAATATCTAGGGTGTGGCGCCCCAATTCACCACGAATAGCAGAAATTGTGGAGTATGGATACACTTTAAGAACCGAACGACAACACTTATTTTGGACTGTTTCTATGTCATCGCCATTGTGAAAACCCCAAATTTCGCACCCATACATTAAAATTGGTTCAATTTTACAACCGTAAATAGTGCACTCAGTCCTCACGTCTAGATTGCTAAAACGTGCAACGATTTGTTTGACAAAAAAACGTGCTTTATTTCTTTTGTTTGCCAAACACTGATGGGCATGGTACCATTTGCCTGTACTTGCAAAAAACATTATAAAAGTAATTGTAGTCGGAAATATCTTCGAAATTCTGGTCCTGGAAAAACATTTTTCCTGTTTCTTCAAAACCAGACTTTCTAAACACTATAATTTTTGCTTTTGTAATATGTTAATTTTTAATTTCCACTTGGGAATAAATAAATTCTGTAACAAGCGTTGTGCGTCGATGGTTAACTAATATAAATGGCTAAGTCATCAGCAAATAACACATAAAAAAGATTAATGAATAACTAATAAATATAACAGATACTAATTTCGATATATGGATTCCTATAAAAAGGATAAAACCACCTGTATATAATACCAGCGGCCAAATAACCTTAGAAGGAGTATAAGCCTGTTAGTGTCATGATGGTTAACTATCATTTTTATGACTATTCTTAGATATGCCAAAACAGAAAAGGAAGCAAACAGAAGAACTGCAACGTAGCAGTTTGACTAAGTGGTTTAAACCATTGGTTCATGATGAAAATGCTACTTGTGTGGAAAGAACGTCAGGAGTCAAGGTAAGATCATATTTCCAACCAAATTTGTTTTTTGTATCAAAATTTCAATCCAAAATCTCCGCTCGACCTCATATATTTGTTATTTATTATAAACATGACTGAAGATTGAAGTTATACAATAGACAATTGCATCTTTAAATGGTTATACCGTGGACCACGAAATATCACGATACATGGTTTGCTGAAAGAGTCCTAATGCTATCTTAGTAAAGTAGCTCAATTTTGAGGGTAAGCCAGGTTTTAGATTTAAACAATAATGAACGACCCGCCAACCCATAATGGGCGGAAGCTCAACATGTATGGAGCACAAAGTGTACTTGAGTTCATTTTTGTATGATGCAAATCCATTGAAAAATTTGGAGTAAAAATCCACAGTGAACTGAACGTTTTCACTGGCCCGTGAATCTGAATAATTTGAAATGTTTTTCTGGATTTTTTTTCCACAATCTTATATGGAAACTAAGAAAGGAACTAGTTTTAATCCATCAAATAGTATCGTATTTAAATCATTTACATTGCGAGTGACTTACGTGTGGTGTGGAATAGCATTGCAGTGATCGCCCGAGCGAACGGCACATAGTGACTACGCCGTATCGGTGTCCGCCGCGGTCTTACACTCCTGGCTTGCACAACGCTACGCTAGATCGCCGCCGCGAGTGTTTTCAAACCATCAAGGTGGGTGTTATTATCAACTATCCTGCCTGTGTAATAGCAGTAATAGTTATTTTCAAATTCTACGGGAGGCCGGCGATTTGACGAATACTTTGAAGGCAAACGAAACTTTGGGGCGTAGCGAGCGAACGAACATGACCGGAAAGCTAGTGGGTGTTAGCTATCCTAGAAGGAGAACCAACAGTGATTTTAATCTCACTGTATAAATAGACAGTATAATTAATGCAAACTGTGCCCGGACTGATACATTTACCGGTAGTCGACGCCGAGGAAATACAAGTCACGTTGGTCTTTCGTCGATCTCGTTTCGCAAATTGTGTAGTACTACTCACTACAAAAACAGAACCAATTCATCTCTCTTTACGCGTAGACATACCCCAACTTCGTTTATCGCATTCGCTTGAATAAATTACCTTTGCTTAAGCTCACTTCATCGACATGATAAGGCGAACTAATCGGGAGGACAGCGCCATCAGTTGCGGAATCTAGAAACTCGTGTGCTGGATGGAACGCTTCTACCGAACGCGTTTTAGCGTACAGGGCAAACGGCGATGACCTCACAGAATTGTCTGATTTCGATATTGAAATCCGCTGTTATACGCAATGGACCGTTTTATTTGATGCCGATTCAAAGCGTTGGTTATGAACAAGTCGGAAAGCTAATACAGACAGGTCGAATACTAACGACATACCCTATAATTTGGGCCAGCATATGTCTTTCGTGTACATAATATTAATTAAGCATTTTTCCGTTCACTGCGAGATCCCGCGTTATGCGTGAAATCGGAATAAACAAGAGCCATGGCGTCGTAGTGGCGCCAAAACATCGCGTGGAATTACACACATGTAAAATGCTGGGTTTTACACGCTTACTAATGTGCTATATACTTTTGATGACAGTCAATTTTGATGAAGATTGAAATTTCGAAATTGAACTGTAAAAAAAGAGAAAATCAAACTCAAAATCAAATCGAATCACAGATGTTATGTTTTCGCTTGTCTTGAGCTCTGAGAACTGAGATCTACGGTACCTTGGCGTTTGTATTAACATCAAAAGTGCAAGATGCGTGACATGATCATTAGTTTGTCTGCACTTCATATTTTTAAATCACTGACGTTTTTTTTTAAGAATAATTCCAATACGATCGTTAGAAGCGGAAATGGTGCTAAAACTACGAGTCCCGGTAGATCAGAGAGCAGCACTTCGTGTAGGTGCATTTTTATTTATTATTATGAACATGAGAATAATGCCATGAATTCATGTCTGTCAATGTTATATTTAAATATTAAAAATTGAACGAATTAAATTCGGAAGTGACAATTCAGGTTGAAGATATATAATACATTATTTTTATTCATCTTTTAGATCATCGCAGACACTGTCCACTCGAAGCAATACAGGTATGCCAAAAACATAATTGGTGAATGTATACGAGCTGTACTTTTCACTAATGTGTTTGTATTTATTCTGGATATCGTCTATTATTTATTTCATACGAAAAAAGATCATAAAGTGTATGAAAGTGGTTATAGTAATTACTTTGCACTTTTTTATTCCATGTATATTCTACTGTGTTTCAACGTGGACCACACAAAGAAGAGGTGAGAATATTTTGCAAACAATGTCTTATTGATATAATAATCCTATACTCGCTATGCCAGGTTGCTGGAGTCAGGACTGATCCGTCTGGTTGAGTTGTTTCATAATCATATATGGTATTTTCTATTTCAACAATAAATAAGAATTATATAGTGTAATATGCGAAATAGAAATTTAGAGTGCATTACATTAATATTGACCTTTGTGTCGTACACAATGAACACAAACATTTGCCTATGTTAAGTAATATGTACTTTCATATATTGGTATATTCGTTTCTGAACATTCAATACTTTCAGACGTCATTGTCAACTTTTACTCAAAGCATGTCATTTTATTATTTTAAACAAATAAAAATTCATTTCCAGAAACGGTGACCGCGTCTTTGCGAGAAAGACGTCCGCTGACAGTAAGTATTTTAAGTACATCGGTCTTCTATTAGTCCCTATCAGAAACAGGGATTTGTGATTTCGGCTCAATGTTTCGTCCACCTGCGTGTCATTTCGAAGATAGTTTAGTTATTCCCTTGACCTTGACAGACTGGGGGCTTTTTTGGCCCAAACACAAACATCGACGATTAAACATATCTATGTTTAGGGATTCCTCGACCGATTTCATTAAACGGAGTATTGGAACCAGCCATGGTGGGTTGCTGGTGCACGTCGCTTTTTTACAATCTGGCCGACTGACTGATATTTCTGCTTTTTATATGTATTTTACCAATTCCTTAGGTACCGTTTAGGAATGTTGGGCTGGCTGCCATTTGCTTATTGCTCATTGCGGGTTTAATCTAAAGTTCAGTTTGCAGAATATAAATCGGCAATTGGAATTCACATCGGAACATGAATCCGCAATCAGAAATCATTTTTGTCAATTTTCTGTCAGCAAACTTAGCATGGACATACCATACACTTGTTTTGATGTACGCTAGTTTGCATTGTGATTGTAATAAACAATGATTGACTAATAGACATCATAGTTTTACAATTTTTCGGACATACATTGACAGATTGTCTTTCCTCAGCGAGTAGTACCTTAGCATGCAATGTTTTATTTCATATTTGCTGGAATTGTTGTTAAATCATTATGCATTGTTCGTGAAAATCACACATCCTAGTAATGTTATGCTAGTACCATTGTTATGTAACTGATAATTTCCAATGATACATGTACATTATTTTAATGCGAAGCTTTAAACTTGAACTGCAATTGCAACTGCTTACAGCAAAAAATTATCGTCAAATTTGTAAATTAGTTACTTTGTACCCTACGAAAACGCTAGCCTGTGTTCATTTATTCATCACGCATATATTGTCCTTATATAAATATACCAGGGAATCACAACAAAAAATCACATAGAAGAGCATCTGAAAAGGAAGCTGAAGGTCGCATTGATATGGCACATATGAATACTAGCAGTCAAAGAAGAGTTACAAGACAAACTTCTCTTGTCAGTAAGTAGTGTTAACTATAACTACATGTTGTTAGTCAACCCGTCATTCAAGGAGACCAATTGCTATGGAAAATCGTCAAGTTTTTACTGGTTAACCAATTATTTTGTGTTATGTGCATTCAAGATCACACACACCAAAAGTATGTCTGAGAAGTTTTAGCTGAGTTGAGTTCGGACTTTCTTTCCCATTTTTTACATAACATAACTACTACTAGCACGTTATTCTGCATAATCAATTTATGAGTATTTATGAACGTGACAAGATTTGAGAATCGATCACTGACATCAAATTTCTGATAGATCAAAGTACAATATGTTTGTGCTATGAAACTTTGCGATTTCGAGCAAGCAGGGGCGTTGCGTTTTGTACCATAAATTCACAATTTGGTCTTTTCTATTAATATATATTGATTATGGAATGCACGGTCTCTTAAAATGACGCGAGTGTTGACTTTGTATCTAGATGGCGGGAGGCCATTATGTAGGTGATGATCCGCAGGCAGGACATTATTTAAATAATTCCCCATACTGAGACAAGCAGTCAGAGAAAGGTCACGCGCAGTGTTGTAAGCTACGCTGGTGTAGAACCCATTACTCAAAGTTGTATTCATCTGTCGACACTGAGAGTATGGAATCAAACTAAAACTCTTGTCAACAACTTTTAAACCGTGTGCATGAATATAATAGGATATATTACTGTTTTATAAGTGTTTACAGTGTGAAAATGTTCCTAAGAATCTATAAGATGTAGTTTGGATGGATACATTAATCTCCATCTATATATTATTCCAGGTGATCGGCATGAAGAGGCACCAGCTACAGAAAGTGCATCTAAAGTGGACTTGGATCTGAAAAGGTATTAACAATAATAATCAGTGAAATATCTTAAATTTTATAATGTGTCAAACGTCCATGTCTGAATAGTCTTAAAAATACTAGTGTATATGCTTGCTGGCCCGTACATTTGTTCGCATCATTTAGTCAGTGATAAATAACGTGTTAATGTGGCATTAACTTTGACTAGTTTCCTTTATTAGCTTAGGGAACACAATTTATAAGACGTGCGTATTAAACTATCTAGATAAGACGTGATCTTCAATTGTACGCTTCAATTGTTTGCCTAATTTGCATATGATAAATAAATGTTAATTATAACATATCTTTCATTACAGAACAAAGAAAAACACATTAACGTTTCACTTGAAAATAGGAAAGTGCAAGGAACTAAAAAAACACATATTGGAATTTGACGAACACGATACTATTCTTGATGTAATTGAGCGTTTTCTCGACAAAGACAAATACAAATACAAATCAATCATCAATAATTTGTTTCCGGAAGTTAACATTAGTGAACAACGCAACATAGAAAGATATATTCCTAATTTTGGCATGCCTGCGAAGTTAGTAGCAGGGGAGACTAGTCGTCATTGAATAAAAGGTTCAACCCAAAGTAACAAAGTACAGAAGACAGCTCGAACAAGGAGATAGCTATCTCGGTATATTTTATGTCAGTTATGTTGAGAAACATAAACCGAACAAAAAGGTTACAATTTTGAATCATTGTCATTACAAAAATCAACTTTTAGGTGTCATGGTCATTCAGGACGATACTCTGTCTGATGCCTTAATACGCGACAGACGTTTTAATGAAGAAATTAGAAAATGTGAACTTAGAGAAACTTCAGCTGGGGAAAATAATGTTAGCTTAGACCAACAGGCTTCAAGCTATATTGGTAAAATATTTTCTGTCATTTGGTTCGAGGCAAAACAAGGCGGCTCTAGTAGAATCGCCTCAGTGTCTCAAGGGATACCACAGCAAATCGATCGATCTGTAGACGCCACTTTAATTTTGTCGAAACTTGGTGAAATTGAAGACACCGCTAAAGAAGTTCGTAAGGTATTGCAACAGACTAAACCCAAGGCAACTGCAAATAATGTAAGAAATCGGTTGTCAAATTTATTCAGTTCAACTTTCACAGGCATTCCTTTAAATGTCTTGAATCATCTACAGAAATCAGTAGGTATTATAAAGTGGCCTCATAGTAAGAATGGCACTGCTTTCAGATTGGGCTCTAAGTACATCATAACTAATTACCATGTAGTTAGATTGATATACGACGCAATGAGGGCAAATCCATTTAGACCAGATGATGTAACTATTAGTTTTAATTTTGTTAGTACACAACACAGCTTAACAAATTATACATTGCGACACGATAGAATGAAATTCCATATGCCTTTCTTCAGTGAAATCGAAGACCTTGACTATGCAATTTTAGAATTAGACATTGACGAAGATATGGAAATTGATGTGCAAGACGGCAATGGTATATCTGGCCAAAATGAAGACCAACAAATTCCAGCATCGTTAACTGGTAATCTAGGTCGAATTCCCATTGAGCCGTCGGCTATAAATATATTAGGCCATCCTCAGGGCCAAGCAATGCTTTTAGATGCTCGGTGTACACTTAAAATTACCACACTTTGTGAATTCCCTGTGTATTATCAGAAAAGCTTTTCACTGGACGATATCATGGTTTCTTCCGATACTAGACGTATAAATTATGAAACGTGTCTGCTTCACGGAGCTTCAGGGTCCCCAGTTTTCACAAATGAAGGAATCATTATTGCTCTTCACACTCGCGGCTTTCCACCAACTGGAACACACAACAACTCCGTCTTTGAACAAGGGGTTGCTATATTCGAAATTATGAAACATGCGAAAAATCTAGCTACCAAACAAGATACCCTTGATATTTGGAAAGATTTATTTGAAAATTGATTACGTTATAGCAATGCTAACCATACAACGACCAGCAAAAAATCATACTTGATTCAAGTAAATTGTCAATATGTCATCACAGGGACATAAAGCATGTCCACAATAACGTGCTCGCATAAGTGTGTTGAGTAGATATTTTGTTTTCTTCAAGAACTCCCCTGTTAACATTTTACTTACGATAATATATTTAGAGTGTTTTGAATTAATGTTTACCTGCAATTGTATTTCAATTAAAAATGATGAATATGTTAGTCGAGTTTGTAAAGTAATGTTCAATGGATCACTGAATGTGTCTGAACTGCAAGTTAGAAAACTCATTCTTTTGTCTATTTGTGTTTAACTGTATAGTATCCGTTACTCCAGTTCGATGATATATGGTATGTTAAACCTCGCGTGTTGCTTCAAAATGACTATTACGAGTTCAAGTTTCCCAGTTATCAATAATATTCAAATAAATGTTAGTACATTTGAATGGAGTGGTTTTGTTATACTAGAATCTTGGAACCGTGCAATATCTGATGACCCAAATGGGCGTGATTATTGCTTACTCATCTATCTTGGCGGATGCAAGTTGAAACCCCACTACCTGGAATACGTTTCACTATACTCCGTAAAAAAAACAATTGAGGCCTTTAGCTTTTGTATATCTCAAATAATTCTCAATAGCTAACTTGCTAAATGCATGGACGAAACTAAACGAAATGAATGATATAAATTGAATTTGTATTTCACAGTAACATAAGGAAATTAAATAAATACTAATGTACAGAAATACATATACAAAGTATTATGGGGGGTCAAATGCATACATTTGTGTGAAATATATACGTCCTAAGACTGGCCAGACGCTGTATTTTTCGTTCCACTCGTCCACCTTTTGTTCAAAATCTGTGTCTTAATTGATCCATTTTCCTGATTTGCAGCATGGAACGTACACACGATTGTCGTTCTTAAAATTGTGGCGCTTCGTTCTAATTATATACTCACCATGTCGTTGCAGCTGTTCAGAATGCATGAGTGATTATACTAGGAGGAATAAATGGACAATAGTAAGAGAAAGTCAACCAATTCTGTTCGCTTTCTTGTGGGTAACCTTTATTATAGCAAGTGAAGTTTGGCGGGGTTGACTTACACAATATTAGTGAAAGGCACAATTGTGCAAAGTGAAGCAAAATAGTGACCTGCAAAGAGCTTTTTTTCGCTACATTTTTATGTAAAATTTCAATTTTATGATCTGAAAAATATTTATTTAATTTATTTATATTTTGTATTCACATTTTCCCTAATTATTTGGTGCTTATCAACGTTGATCTGTTTCTTTACATACCATTAACAGTAGACTCTTCTCGCCCTCTCCTGTTATTTTCAACTTCACATCCATATATTATAATTATCAGTTATTCTGAATATGGTTATGAATATTGTACATTTTGGATGTAAAAACAGCTTTCGAGTTTTATATTATATGAAAAATAACATTTATACCAAGGTACCAAGAGGAAATAAATATCACGACTTATTGATGAACAGACGAATTGTTTAAATATTACAAAACTATGTTATATTTTGGACTAAGATGATAACTTATGTTGGAAAAACAATTTTCTATTTACTCGCTGAATTAGAGAATAATCCCGTTGGTACACAGATAATTCGCTACGATTTGCGACGGAGTAAATTACAGTTTACTTCCACCATCCAGAAAGGATATTTATTTTTATTTATATTACGAATGTTGATTATGAACATTCACGAGGTATATAACGCTGACCGACCAATTCGGTGTCATTCTATCTGAGCGTATTCTTCTATATTTACAATTATCTACATGTCACAAGGTAAATTATACGGTGAAGTACTATGGTGTGGTAGAATCGCCAAACGTAATACAGGAATGCAATGGCCAAAATAAAGTACAGTCACCGACATTGTGGTTGGGTTCTTTACCCCAAAATACACAATATAAATAATGTATAGATATATTGATATATAATCATACACAGTAATGCCAGGGTAGAACTTTGGGATAAAACAGGCACATCCGTAACAAAAATGAACGCACTTCAAGAAACACAAGTATATGTGGTCAACGAAATATTTAATATAGAATAATCTCAAATAATATTTGTGATGCAAATCATCAAGTTTGACCACGAATAATTAAAGCAACAATTACATTATCATTTAAACGCAAATAACCATGGTTAATGCCCTAAACATAATCAGTACATAACCGGAAAATACAAGTAAATAACGTTTCACGCTGTCACTTGTAGACCGTTAACATCAATCACTGTACCATAACGACGAACGCAGTAACGTAGAAATAACAATGTAACGTCAGAGGCTACTTAGCTTTTGTGGTTGACTCAGTTCCATGCACAGTGTTCGTTGAATCACACGATTTAATGTCTTGATGGTGGTTTGACAATCTACTAGGAATTTTGTCTCGATGACGGTTTGACAAACAAGTTGCGGCACGGCTATGGAGACTCGGCGACTTCATTATGTAAAATACTATAGTTGGTAGAAGCGCATGTAGTTGACCATGGGGTTTCCAACCCAAAGTATCAGGAACTGGCAACAAACTTCTCATGATGTTAACTGTGACAGACAGCAGGGAGAAGTGATCCCTTTGTTCCACGCCATGTGACAAGTTAATTTATTCAGGAAGGTTTCATTTTCGGATGGGTTAGTCACACCCATTAAAGTGTCAAATACAGCGCCATCTCTGGCCAAACTAATTAAACTTAATTAAACTGTAAAAATGTACACTCCAACAATTAAAGTTAAGTTACTGAGACTTTGTGACTTTGTGACACTACATATATACACATATACCCTAAAATGCGGTTTAAAATAATGAAACGAAAATACAAAAAAAGAATAATCATTTTTAGTCACTGATCACATCTGTTCTGTCTGATTGGCTCTTGAATATGCTAGTTGTTTACGTGTCGATATATCGTGGTAATCTTAACTATTGAGGAAACTCCCAGAGCGCAGTGCACAGTGAAAATCGCGCCCTCTTGTGTTGAAGAGGTTTTTTTGACGTAGATGTATGCGACCAATAATCAAGCTCCGAGTTCGAAACGCTGGAATGTCTACAAAAATAATTGTACGAGACACTTTGAATGCTTTTAAAGTGGTTTAACGCAAATTTAAAAACATTAAATATGAAATAAACTAATACATGGATATTTGTGTTGTCTTTCTATTTCATAGTCATTACAAACACAGCTTGCAGGTGTTCAGATCACTAGTGTTAAAAATTAAACGTGATGGCACAAGATGGCAATATAATTGCTCCAGTGTGTTACAGAAAACGATCGTAAATTCATTAACATGTAAACCATGTTTACGCTGCATTTCGGCCCCTGGTTATGCCAGCTTGTATTCCCTTAGTCTTTGTGCACTGGTGCATACACGTAATTGGTTAGAGCTGTATGGCGCCCTCACTGTTGGTGGTGTCAATTACTTTTGTTGGCTGCATACCGACCTCTTTCGCGGGAACCTTTGTTGTGAGTGTGATGCAGTGTGACTATTGTCGCACCTGTGCTACTGTGCGCTATACTCTTTTCTTGGATATGTGATTGACTAGAGGTTGATTTGGAGAGTAGTTTTTATGACATTTTTATGAGCATTACTTGTGTTGTAATTTACTGTGTATTACGGAACGAGGTAGTTGTTTTTAGTGTGTACAGGGCTGAGAGCGAAAGGGCTCTCTCTCTCCTGGCGCCGAGCGGTTAACCTCACTGTGTACATTAACAGCAAGCTATAATTCTTTGAAGAAAAGTGAAAGAAGTGGGAAGCGGAACGTGGAACACTGTTGTTATGGTGCTTCGTTGGACGGCTAGACCAACCCGTGACCAAACTTTTGTCGCAGCTGGTAGGTGAACTATTACTGTTTGGAAAGGGGCCCAAAGCATCTTTGATTGCAATCGAACGTTGAACAATTATCACATGAACTTTTATCGCGTCAAAACTTTGTGATCTATATCATTGTAGCTTTTTGTGGGTAGTGAGAGCACTTTTTCCCGTCTTACGTAGTTTTTATGTGATTTTATTTTTCCAGTGACAAGGTGCCACATGGTTGTATCCGGCGGCCTTAAGCATTACCTCCTCGGCGGCCGATCAACGTCCGCCTATCAACAGTCCCTATCCACTTAAATAAGGGAGAGAGAATGTGTTCGACTGTGCATCTTATGCCAGGGTCAGTTCCCTCTGGTATACGCGCATGGGTTGGTAAGAGGTGAGTCAAAACCCATGGCGGAGACCGGACACAAGGGTAAATTCGTTACAGTTGTACCATTTCCGCACGACGAACCCTGGCTGGCTGAAAGTAAGGGGGAGGTGCAACATGTGCCCTGAACAAAAGCCCTGCCCCAAAATCGGAAGCTTGGCTGCCAGCATCTCCGTTGGCATGCAGTGCCTGAGACCCCAGAGGAGACCAGGTGCAACTAGCCTGAGCCTAGGCCTCACCCAAATTAGCGGTCGCGAACGGGGGGTTCCCCAGAAGAGACGTGTTTGAATGCAAACAGCTCGCTCCAACTGCATCTGATCTACCCGGCCTTCCAGGGACGCAATTGCCCCGACAGCCCTCAACTTGGCAGCAAACCCGGTGCCATGCGAGGAAGAGTCCACAAAGGGACCCGCAACACAGAGGAAAGCCTCCAGGGGCACAGCCTCTCTGTAACCGGTAAAATCGGGTAAACCACCGCCTAAAAAAACAGACTGTGAAGATGCCCTCCGATCAGTGGGGGAGACCGAGAAAAAATATTGATACCTCCACAATCGGGTATCCTACTCGACGTCTCGGTACACGAAGCACCGGTAGCCGAGCGTGGGGACTTTCCACTCATGCCAAACACGCAACTCACTTTAACTGTTTTTTTTACTAGATGCGCGACATTGCTTTGAAAATACGAGCGAAGCGGTCAGTCTCAGTGATTTGATCTGAAAAAAAAATCTCAGACCTGAGAACTCAAGTGAAAAACACA